CTGCTGAATGTAGAACTGTTCCTGACCTGGGGGGAAAGCTGTGTTGGTTTGAATCATTTATTTGTCAGGGGAGCTCCCCAAAAAGATCAGAAACAAAACTAATAGTTCATCTTGAGAAAAACAAGTTCTTTCCTGGGTTTGTTCCCCTATAATTATTAGCAATCCAAATTCCATAATTCTCACTGGGGAAGAGGCAAGTCCAGTATCCAATGACATTAAACAAACTGACAACCTCTTTCAGAGGTATTATAAAACCCACAGTTTCAATTTTCTACGCCATACTAAAGACAGGCAAAATCACACAAGTTCCTTTATTCAGAATATTAAAGAAATTAAGACTGATTGTTGTCACAGTCCATTATAAGGTCCTCTCTGGGAATTTTCAGTGGATTATTCTTCTGACTATCTTCCATTGTAACCACTCTTCAGTGCAGGGGAGTGGTTTTGCTTTTTTGGAAACATCAAATGTTACTTAGAACCAAGAGTGGTGAAAAACGATCAAGAGAAAGGGCATACATTCAGATGCTGAAAGTGATACTAATTAGATAATAATACAACTGATTTTCTTATATTTTTAACATAAATGGTGGTAACATAATTAAAATAAGTATTATTTTCCCCAGTAAAACTAGATGCCTTTGAAGGGAACACTCAATTAGATGTCACAATTCTGATATGTCTGCTAAAGAAATCACTAACTATAATCATATTCACAAGTGTCCATTTAAACCTTATCTCCTCTGAGGCCTGTGTTTTCACTAGGACTTGAATTTGGTGATCTAGTTATCTGAATGCTATAAAGGGAAAAAAAAAAACAAAACCCAATTTGTGATGTTTTCTGGTTTAGTTACTATTTTGCACAGTTGGAATAAAAGCAAACCAGAAACATATGCCTACAGTATTTGTCCATTTTAAAATAGCAGATCCTTAATTACACAGTTTACAATAATTGAAATCTGATGCTGCTGGAATAGGTAGATGCATGTGTGTAGTATTAAAAAAAGGAAAATCTATGTCCAACATTCTGTGATGACTTAGGGGTCTCTTCAGATAACCAAGAGAGCAACCCGAGTTAGCGAAAGCCTATTGTAATTCTCTAAAATATAAATACTACTATAGTAATAGTAAGAGCTACGGAAGATAACTGAAGGACATCAGGATTATCTAAATCCTTCATAGTCCTCCTAAAGCATCATAATAAACACCGAGAACCCTAGAATTCTACAACTTAAAACCATCTGGTCCAAAGTCATCACTGTAGTAAGGAGCAGCAGTTCTAAGAAGTGAAGCTCCTGCTGAAGGCCACTGGGCCAGGGACTGGCAAAGGTCAGGAGGAGCTCCCAGGGGGCCTCTCCTGCCCGGATCTCTTCTCCCACCACCCACATCTATGAAATGAAGTCGATGAACTAGAATAATCTCTAAGGTCCCTCTTGTAGCTCAGTCTACAGTTCCAAAGTTCTATCAATTATTAGCACACTATGCTCATCTCAAAAAAACCCTTTTAACTCAGGGATGGTGCTATAAACGAAAAGAGGCCCCATTTATTGAGTCACTCACATGTTTTCTTTAACAGAAAAATAGTTCTATCCTTTGAAGCCTTACTCCTAAAGAACAAACTCAAGATAATTTCATGTCATTATCCCCCTCAGGCTTCCTTCCTCCACCCAGTCTCTGGTTTCTAGTCTGTTCACTTTCATTAACATTCTCTATTAAGCTTTATTGAGCCAGATGACTAGATAATACATCTCAATGTAATTATGGGTAATACATGAAAAGGACAACTGAGAGACACCTAACTTCGAAACTGTACTCTTCGTGGCTTCAATTACATTGGGAAGCTAGATATTTCACTGTATTGCTAACATGTATGTATGGGAAAAAATCAGGTTGGAAAACATAGGCATAAAACATTATTCTTATTTAAAAATAAACTATCTCCTTCATTAGTTTACATATTCTATGTCTGGGAAAAAGAACACCACTTTGATCTTCAGTAATAATCCTGTCCATAAAAGGGACAAGTCCCATTTTCACTGTCCAATCAAGGAGAGCTTTTCAAGCATATCTTTTTTAACTCTCAGTAGGAAGGTTGTACCTCCCTCAATTCTGGGAATGATTCATTATCCTAACAGAGGCCTGTACGTCATGCATCTAGTTTCAGCTGGCATGGAAGTACTTAAAGTCAGAAGGAAAACTGAAAAGTTCTGACTTTTCCTCTGCTGCCTTTCAAAGGCTTTTGAAGCTTGACCTCTGGGGTCAAAGCTTGACCTCTAAGGTACAGTATGTTGCAGGCTATTGTTGCTGTTCAGCTTTTTTTCCCTCTTAAAGTGCAAACATGAGGAAGCAGGAACAAAGGTACGAGACAGGGAAACAAGCAAATGGACCTGGAATTTTATTCATACAAATCTGATCAGCTAAGAGGTTCCCTTTTGACTGTGGAAATGGCACTCTAGGAAGAGAACCAAATGGGGTTCTCTGTGCCCACTTCTTTTCAAAGGGTGATTTTATAAAACTGCTTTGCATGTAAGGAAAAAAATATACTTTAGTGAGGAAGGACATGTACAGAGGGTGATCATGAGGCATGTTGTCACGTCAGTGCAGGGACCTTTATTTATTTTACGAACAATATTCTAAGGTTAGTGAGAAACTGCTTTGTTTTGTTTTTTAATCTAAGAAGCCAAGGAAAACCAACTGAACATATTTCACTGGCTGTATCCTTCAGTTCAAACATCAGAGAGAAAGAAAGGTAAGTAGCCAGAGTCAAATTGTGCCTAGTGTGTCTGCATACTTATTTCTGATTATCTGAAAATAAACAACATGCGTATTCTACAAAGACAGAGGACCTGCTGAAAGCTTATAGCAACACACAAGTCTATTCAAAATGATTCTGTATGTTACACTGTAGGGTTGCCGTGTAGTTAGTTATACAAGGGAAAGAGATCAAAACCCTGTACAGACACCTGATATCGGACTTGAAATGCCAAGTGGAAACAGAACTATTCAGTGTCTTCATTTATACACAATTTACAATATTTGATTCAAAATAAAAATCACAAGAAAAATACATCTGTTTCTGCTACAATTCCTTCCCTTCCCTCATCCACCCCCCAGTGAAAAGTCTTCTAATAAAAGGTATCATATTACCATATTGTCTTGTTTTGGTCTAATTCTGAGATCCCAGCGTGAGATAGTTAAACACTAAAAGGAATGGCAATACTTGGAATTTATATAATATACACATTTTATCCAAGGATCTCAAGTACTTGCGGTCACGTCTCCAGATCTGAGAAATCACGGTTCAGTGGAAGCCAGAATGCTGGAAGGATGCTGGGCAGGTTGCATGGGGTGTAAAATCCCTTGGCTAAGTCTATGATCAAACAAGGTCAGAGCTGGTTGACTAGAGTTGGGCTCAATTTCTCTTTCCGGACATAAACCATCAGTCAGTTTTACCCTCTCTTAAACCACACACCCATCTCTAGGTTATTGCCTAGAGTCAAGACCAACTGAAGAAGCCATGTCCTCAGGATAATGCAGCAGGATAGAAAAGCAAAAACAGAGAAACACATTCATCAGCATCTGGCCAGAGGAGATGGGGTTGGGAGGATCGATTTGGGAGGCCATTCCTAGCAAGAATGAGACAAAGGTGTCAGTTCACTAGTTTCAGTTACAGTTAAGCTTGTGGAGTCGATTCCGGCAGAGGTGAAGCTCATGGCATCTAGCGCTTGATGTAAGATAATGCTACTGAAGAAGGGTAATGAGGAAACACAGCAAACTAACAGAGAGGAACTGGCCAAAGAGTATCTGGAGGGCCAAAGTGATTTTCTTTCCTTATCATTTCTATGGGAGAAGGCAAGGGATAGAAGATCAGGGCTAGAGGGCCCCTTATTTGCAGATTTTTAAAAAAAAATCATTTTCTTATAACTCCGTAATGAAAATGTGTATTACGGTATGAAGGTTACAGAACTGCATCTGCTACTGGGTCACGGCTACAGGTCTATGAGCTGATCCACCAGCAGCAAAGACCTGGCTAGGTTGGGAAGACTGGACTCAGAGCTCCCACTGCTGTTTCTAGAGTGCCCACCTGGAAGTGGAGAGATAGGAATTCAGTACAAAACACATAGGGTTAAGGTTTAGATGTACAGAATAAGCGAAGGAGAAAAAAAACAAACCAAAACAAAAAAATCCTGGAAAAGCAACAATTTACATTTTGAAAACTTACATGTTAATTTTTAAACATATAAATTAGTTATCCACCACCTCCCACCAAAAGTTTAGGCACTGTGTGCATACCACACTGTAGGCAGGAGATCTTGCAAAGAGCATGCTATTTTCAAATGAGTATCTATTTTGCCTGAGAACTGCTGGCTGTACATAATTTCCAGATAATATCAACTCACTTCCCTGATAAAGTAAAAATCAGTAATTTTTGATTTGGGGAGGAAGTAGTTACTAAGGCTACTGCAATAAAGTTTGCCTTAAGAATACATAGATGGTCTTATGGCAATTCAGTGCTTTATGGCATGTTCAAATGATTTTAACTGAACAAAGAGGGAAAAAAGGATACTCCACAAATGTCTAAAAGGTGCAAAATGGTGTCAAAGCATCATTATTAATCTCTTTGGGAAGAGTATTTATCACAGATTCTTATAATTATGATAAAAAATGTTCAGTTCATTTTTTGATATAGAACTTCAGGTGTCCATTTGCTGAAGATCACTATTTTTAGCTTGATACTTTGTAAAAAACCAGCTTTTAGTCAAACTATTAAATACTTTCCTTCTCTCTAAATAAATATCACTGTCATGCTTTAAGATACCTATATTAGTATCTTTATGTGTACTTCCATCTATCTACACTGGTCCAGCCCACAATGATTGTTATTACCCCCAATTTCTTTCATTAAGTGTTAATGCTTTCCCCCCTTTCTACATTAGGCACATTCCTATTTTGAAGAGAGCTGATATCAAGCTCTTTTCTTTTCCCCAGCCTCTCTTTCTTACCTTGTGGGTTTTTGGTTATCAATACAGGAATAGGGTCAAACTCATCTTCTGCCACCTTGTCCGAGCTCTCAGGGACATCAAAACCTGAGATGAGATTACTATCTTCTGCAGCTTAATACAGAATGCAAGTACACAAGCAGAAACAACAGAGGTAGAGATCAGCAAATGAGAGAATACATTAGAGGTAACTGCACAATCACTGTTGCTTTTAAAGATGAAAATGCTTATTTTCCTGAGTTGAAATAAAAGCAGTAAAGCTGGAAAACTTGAGGAAATAGAAAAATAATGCTTTAGAGCTAGCCATGTTAAGACTTTTATAAACGAGAAGGGTTACAGGAAGAGTTCTCCCTGCCTTTATATGGTCATTAAATACAGTTATTGTGAGAGATCTCTTCAACATCAGTAATTCATAAAGGCACGGGAGTCAGTTTCATTTATCTTCTTCATTGAGCTAACAGAGGCTGGATTAACAACTTGAGAAAAACTCAAAACCAGAGATAGCAGGGAGATAATTAGTTGCCCTTTAAGAGGTAACCACTGCATGTGCTAGTGCTAAGTCACTTTGGTTGTGTCGGACTCTTTGCGAGCCTATAGACTATAGCCTGCCATATACAGACAAAACAAAACAAAATACTTCTGACAGGACTCACTGCCCTGTGATTGGGATAACAGACTTTCAAACTGATGTCCCAGGAATACTGGGGCACAAGATCGCATGCGCTGAGATTTAACACAGAAGTTTGCTAGAAATTCTTCTCCATTCTACAAGCAAGTACTAGCTGAGCACCAATTTTGCAAGTGATGCTTCTCTGTAATTATGCATCACAGCTGACACACTCCTGTCAGACATAATTGGCTAAAGAGGAAACTTCTCTCTACACGTTCTATAAAAACACAGTCATTTTAATGCTATCAAGGATAAAAACAAAAACTCAGCTATTACCATTGCAAACTAAAGGCTAACTATTTTTCAGTCATATCAGCGAGGCTTCCTTCCTACATTTCCTTCAGAAAGGACTTAACAGCTGTTCCTTTTATATGTATTTGCTCCTTCTAGAAACCCACGTTCACTGTCTGAGCCCAGAAAGAAGTTGACTGAATGCCCATGTTCCGTGTCTGCCACTCTCACAAACCACTCAATGAACAGAACTCAATTCGAGCTATTTTTCTGTCCAGCAGAAGTTCAAATCAGTATTAACACAAGACAAAGAAATAAAAACAGTAGACTAGAAACAGAAATCTAGTAATTAATCATGACTCCAAGGTTAACTAAAATTCAAACCTTTTCTGAGTTCAATCTTTGAGGACTGACTTTTGAGGAACAGTGCTTTTCTCTTTATTGTAATCATCACTACCAAAAAAACCTGAAATCCGATTTAATGAAACAGTTTTAAGTTCTAGGGCCACCCAGTATCTAATTAGTCAGCTCGTGGACAGTCAGTCATCTCCCTGAGCTGACTACAAAGGCAAGCAGCTGTGTCTTTACGAGAAAGCATGGGATATCTGCATTAGAGGTGACTGTGAGAAAGCCACACTTCCACAGTCTGCCATCCCAGCCTGATTAAATATTCTTAGTGAAAGGAACTTTAACACAGGGGCTAAGAGTACAAACTCGAGTTTTCCACTCAAGGAGGTGGTTAGAAAACTTCACTAGCAAAGACTTTTGTTAAGGGAAATTCTCTTCTCCTCTAAGGATACATGTGGGCTCAAGAAGAAGAAAGTGTTTACCTTTATGGGCTGGAGCAGAGATGGCTATGGGGGCAAACTCTTCCAGAAGGTCAGTAGTGGGATTAGAAAGCAGAGAGCAATCAATCAGGGAATCTTCCCCGGTGAGAGAATCTAAGTCCAGATTAACAGCATCCCAGGTCAGTGACGGCATTAAATGGCACACACAACAATATCACAGGTTAGGTCTTAGCTTTTTAGTTATTGCATTTATATTATACATAGGAGCCAAGGTGAGAGGAAGAAAACCAAAAGAAACATGTTAAGTACTCTGGATTTTTGTCTACAGAAACATGTATTTCTAAACTTCTCTTAACAGTAATATATATGGAAGAGTTTTTTGTTTGGAGGTTACTGGTTAAGCAAGTAAATGGTTGGGATGCCAATAAAACTTTGGCAACTCAGTTCTCAGCAAATGCTGTTTGGGAAAAAAGACTTTGCAGCTAGAGTTTCACTTAAATCTTCCCTAAAAGTTCACTGAAAACATTTATTATAGGATGAGGTATCCAAGCTGACAAGAAGCGGGTTGTCCCTGGCTTATTATTAGTAGAATATGACATGATTAGACAGCACTTTCGGGAACTCAACCCAATGCCCGTTCAAAAGAGAATTATCTTGTCTCTTATTAGTACTCTTTAAATCTGAATTGCTCCTCTGAGCACATGATTTTGCTTTTAGTTAAGGAACAGAGGAAAGATAAAATTCAGAGTTCCAAGTATTTCAACATATGAATTGTTTTCTGCAAAAGTTTTCCAGGAGAAAACAGCCAAGTAAGCACGAGAAAAAGAACTATGTTGTCTCCTATCTTAATTCTTTTTTAACCTGGTTGAGTTTATTCTCATATTTCCCAGACTTCTAATTGTTTCTATTCCAAGTTGGCAAAGTGGACACTTTTATCAAGGTAATTATGGACTCGACAAAATGAAGGTTATCAAATCTCTCTTTAAGGAGCTGTAGTTAAAGAATTCTACTAAGGGTGAACTTTGAAATTGGGTTAAAAGCAATGACAAAACTAGGGAAGATTTCAATTTTGCCTACAATTTAATAACAAATCATCTAGATATGATCAAAGCTCTGGGCTGGGAACAGAATGTTAACATACAGAGCATGAGTTCCCATGGACATGACAGATACTGTTGAGGGAAAGACTGCTCAGTACCCTGGGGGAGTTAGGGGTATCCTTACACCACAGATCTTTCATTAAGAAACTAGAGGGAACCTACACCAGTGAAAAAAATCTTAAGACTGAAACCAAAGAAAGCTCAGGAATCACTCTATAGAGAACACAGCCTCAAAAAGTGCTCCACGCTTTACCAAGGAAACACATCCCTCAACATCTAGAAGCTGGAGCTATAATGATGCAGAGCATCCTTGTGGGAGGAACTAACCAGGCTGAGAAATAAACAAGCCCAGGACCACTGGCTGCAGGTGGAACATCTGACTCAGCGCTGCTGGCACTGACTAGTCCCTGCAGCTGTAGAGACTCCTGACTGACCTGTGCGGTTCGAGGTCACAGATTCCGTCTGAGATGGGAGGCGCTGAGACACTGGGGGCTCCAGTCCTGGTATCAGACTCTCAACAGCAACGTCAGCTTTTTCTTTTGTGACAGAGCATTAAGAGAGGAGAGGAAAAGGGAATCAGAAGGTTGTTGGAACGATTCTGCGAAGGCTTTCTTCTGCACCTCTCTAAAATGCCCATCTTGGGCGAGATGGAAAGCACGTTAAGATGCTTTCTTTTTGTTGATTTGAGTGTCTGGGCTTCCCTGACCGAGCAGGCACTACTGTGGTTAATCTTTGTGGCTAGTTTTGGTGATTCTCAGTTTTTATAAATAAAGGCAGAACGGGAGCCACCCAAGAAAACCTCTTATATGTCAGAAGACATAAGCTGAAGGCATGTTAATGTCTTCCAGGAACTGTGCTTTTCTTAAGGGATAAACTTAGGGGCAAACACGTTCTGTGTCTTGCAAAGGCAACTGGTCCATCTTGAATCCTGTGCCATGATGTAGCTAGAGGTACTCTTTACCATGCGACACCCCTCAGCTGGAGGCCCATCTGAAGGGTCATGGCATTTCTGAGTTCTAGGACTTTGTGCCCCCATAGTACAGGGACTCCAGATATTTTATGGGTCTTGCCTGCCTTGTGGTTGGAGCACAAGAAAATGTAAAAGCAAGCAGATCAAGCCGCCAGATCAAGATTCTACTCCTGGTGCTTCACCATGGGGCAAATGTTTTCTCAGTTATTGACACTTGGCACACATGGAGGCCTTCTAAAGAAGAATCTGCTACAGGTAAAGACCACCTCAAAACCAACTTCTTTCATAAAGCTTTTGTAATGAAATGTCAATTTCCCCACATTCCCCTTCATTCATAAGAAATTCACTCTAGAAATCTCAGTGTTTCAAGAAAGGCATAAATAACAGCACTGCCTTCTGCTGCTGGGAGGCAGAGAAAAAAACACTCCTTTGGAGTGATAACAAGGGAAATTAACTAGCCCTGGCTCCTGGGTCAACACAAGGCAATGCTTCAACACCAGGAGGCTTTTCAGCATTTCTACTTCTCTGCAGGGTTATTCAGTAGGGAACTGTTAACCAGTGGGTTGCCATTCTTGAAACAGACACACATATCATGCACAACAGAAGACACAGAGAGAATGACTTTACCAATTACAGCATCAGAAGTGCTACCAAAAGGATCTGTCATAGGCAAGAGGTCAGGGAGCAGAAGAGAAGTGTCAGGAGATTTGAGTCCCTCAATTAGTTTTTCTAGGTTGGGCAGAGAAGTAAAGAGAAAGCAAAAATGCAATGAGATATTCAAGTAAGCCAATCATTTACTGTATCCTATGCAAACATTTGAGGGGTCAAAATTTTATATAGGTTCAGCATAAAAACTTTGATATTGCTAATATCTTGTTTAAAAAAGGCTCTCAAAGTTTAAAAATGATTATTTCCCCAAATGAACTAGTCACTTTGTAAGGCATTCAAGATGCTGCCTTAGATGTGTTTGTTTTTAAATTTGCAGTATAATTTACACTGAATAAGAACACAAGTTACCAATTTTAAAAGTACAGTTTGATGAATTTTCACAAATGTACACACAAGCACCACTGAAATAAGGAAGCAGAAGGTTTCCTTCACCCCAAAAAGGACCTGTGTGCCCTTCTCTGGTCAATGCCTTCCCCTGACCCCCAGGCCCTGGCAACAACTGATCTGTGTTCTGTCCTTGTGGCTTTGCTTTTTCTACCATTACCTACATAGTGTGCAGTCTTTTCTGATGTCCTTCATTTAGCATGATGCACCTGAGATTCCTCCATGTTGTGGTCCACATCAGCAGTTTTGTTTTACTGCTGAGTTTTACTGTATGAATGCACTTCACTTTGTTGATTCATTCATCAGCTGATGGACTTTTGGTTATTCCCAGCTTTTAGTTATTAAAAATAAAGCTGCCACAGGGATCCCTGTAGCTCAGACAGTAAACAATCTGCCTTCAGAGCAGGAGACTCGGATTCAATCCCTGGGTCAGGAAGATCCACTGGAGAAGGGAATGGCAATCCACTCCAGTATTCCTGCCTGGAGAATCCCACGGACAGAGGAGCCTGGGGGGCTACAGTCTGTGGGGTCGTAAACAGTCGGACACAACTGAGCGATTAACACTACTACTACTAAAGCTGCCATAAACATACACATATACGTTTTTGTGTGTTCATATCTCTTTCTGAGCTTAGTTTTGAATCTCTCCCCATTTTTTTGAACTTGCACTTAGAAATGGTTTATAACTCACCAAGAGAAGCAATGAAACCACACCTAGATTTAACTTCCAACAATCATTCACTGTCTGCCAACTGACAGCTTGTGACACTCCCAGTACTCATTATTAAACTGTCAAATCTTATAAAATTCACTTAAGCCTGCAGGTGGATTACTTTTGATGTCTTTTGGCTAAAGAACAAAAGGACATTAGAAGCCACCAGATTTGTCACACCTGATAACTTAATGTGTGATAACATGCACACTAAGTTTCCTTCCAAGACAACTCTTTATAGACAACTCTTTCAACAACTCCCTACCTTTTAAAAGTAGAGCATTAACTTGACACAAAATAATGAATCACAGACTCTTATAGAAAGAAAGGAATTAAGAGCTCATACTTCCTTTTAACTTATAGAGACTGAGACCACACAAATTCTATAACTTAACTAAGTAAGGACCTGTCAACAATGTTCTTTTCTACCTCAGAAATAAACTGCCATTAAAATAAAACTATCTTGGGCAATTTTCTGCATACTGGCAAAAGTAAGATGGTTTTCCCCCCCAAAACTAATTTCTCATTATTCTGAGCACTGGCTTTGGTATTATTCCCACCTAACAAGGATCTTCTATGTTAAAAAAAAGTGATGATCTGCTTCTTTCACTTCTAGCACTCAGACATTTGCAATCTTAAGAAGTGCCAGGTAAAAGGTAAAGAGTCTACATGTCTTGTTTGTCTTTCACCGGAGGCCTGTTTGTCTTGGCCTGTCCAGTGAGTGGGTGTGACTCTGGGGCTGTTCCTGAAACAGATCTCCTTACCTGTAAAATGCAGACATGTACCCCCCAACCTTTTCGTATTAGTCACTCAAACATCATCTCTAAGCCTTTCCCCACGCTGTCACAGTAGGAACTTTCTAGAACACTCTGATTTCACTTCTCTTACAGCCCTGAAGGCAGAGAAGGTAGATTCTTAATTTCTGATCCCCAGTTCCCGGTTCCCTCTCGTCACATCTCTGACTTTTGGCTTCATCGGAAAGGGGAGGAGAACAGAGGATTGATGGCAGAAAGGCAGGTCCTTCAACAAGAATCTAATTTTTTATTAGCAATTAGCAAAAAGCATGAGAGGGTAAAAGAATACGTATGCACATGCGTGCATATGTGTGTTTATGGTGAGATAGTATGGGGTGGGGGTCGGTTAAATGGCCATGTTTAAGGAGGCTTCGTTATTGACCAAACCTCAAAGTAACAGGCTGTTCACACAGATAATCTGTATGGTCACTGCTACTTAAGAATATTCAAATATGGGAACTAGGGAAGGAGAAGCTGGGGTCAGAGTTAAAACTAGGCAGGAAACAAGGAGTGAGAGTCCAGGCCACAGCCTGTGCAGAAACAACTTCTTTCACTACCAGCACTCTTGCAGAGAGAGTGGGCAGTCCATTACTCAGTGCTATTATAACAAAGGTTGTCACATGCATTTGCAGAGTCCAAAGCCAAACATTCCCATTCATTATACACAAAACCCCCTGGGTTTGGGACTATTCATGCAGTTGAGAATGGACATCAGAGACCTTGAGAATGTGTGACCTGTCCAAAGTCACAGGTGGCAGAGCCTGGACTTGACTTCAAATTTTCCTTCCCATGCTGCATAAAGGGTCTGCCTAGCTCCATAACCAGAGGAGGAGGACTTTTCACAGACATGGTCTCATGCACAATGGTCAAGTTATAAAAGATATGTTAACACTGGAAGGAACTTCAGGTCTTATCCAATTAGCCTTCTCATTTGCAGATGAGGAAACAGCTTCAGAAACGTGAAGCCACTTGCCTAAGATCTTCTAGCAAGTAAGTCACAGAATTAGCTAGGACTAGGACCTAGATCTTTACGTACAGAGATTCATCCTTCTGGTTTAACTAAGGCTTCGATTGCTTTAAAGTGTACAAACTCAGGATTGGCCTGGTGGTCCAATGGTTAAGAATCTGCCTACTAATGTGGGGAACATGGGTTCAACCCTATCAGGGAACGAAGATCCCACATGCTTCAGGGCAACTAAGCCTGTGTTCTGCAACTACTGAGCCCTCGTTCTGCAACTACTGAAGCCCACACGCCTACAGCCCATGCTCTGCAACAGCAGAAGTCACTGCTATGAGGAGCCCACACACTTCAACTGGAGGGGAGGCCCCACTCGCCACAACGAGAGAAAAAGCCTGCACAAAGCACTGAAAATGCAGCACAGACATAAATAAAAGTGTACAGACTCCTAGAATATACATTTTAAACTGTTACCGGTCATTTCTGGTCACTGTAAATGGAGAAACTGACGAGAAATTTTAAGAGAAATTAAAAGAAAGGCTCCAGGAGGCCGACAGCCTCTAAACCACAGCCTAGATGCCTCCCAAGTGTATCAAGGTCTGGTTTTGATATCTTTCATTTTACAAATTATCACCTCTCTCACATTTTTATAAAAACACTTTGAGGCTGTGTATTATGACAGAGGAAAGAGTAGAGGAGAGGGTGGTAAATCTAGGAAACTGTGTGGAAAGTGTTCAAAACCTTATGACCAAGCCCCACACCAGCATATGACTTGCCACCTAACGAACAAAGACTTCTACAGTTTTACTTGAATAATGGGAAGTGGCTTCCCTGGAAGCAAAAACAAAACCCAAATTCTGGGACAGCTCATACCTGAAATGTATAGAGGCTCACACTCTATTTCTCAGTTACACAAAGTGGCAGACCAGTGAAACCAAGAAATAATTCACAAATTGCATTTTGCAATGATTGAATCCTTCTAAGAAACATTTTATAAGAGTTTTCAACATTTTCTGTGTTAGAATCAGAAGTCCATGACCCCATCTTATTCCAGTATATGTGAAAAGCAGTGGACAATTATGGATAGAAGAAAATGATCCCAGTTTTGTTATCAGTTCCTAGGCTGACTCTGGTATTTTCAGATCCGGCTTCAGATTCTACATGTGTGTTGGAGGGAGAGGGGAGAAAATTTCTGGATTTGGGGAGGTTATTATTTATTTAATCTCTGATTGCAATACTGTACATTTTCAGCTGGGGTCTGCAAAATCCTATCAAATAAATAAGCAACATGAAAGAGCCCAAGGGCCTGAGTTTACATTAGTTACCTAATTTTTCTAAGCATCAGTTTTCTCACCTGTAAATACAGAATAATAACTACTTTAAAAGGTTGTCAGGATTAAATGGGCATATTTATTAGAAATTAATGTGTGTGTGTTTATAAATTGAAATACTTAGCACATAAAAGAGGATTAATGTCTCTTTTAAGTAAAAGGACTAGATGAGGTATGAGATTACAGTAGTGAAAATGGGTGGAATTCTAGAATTTACTCAAATGCCTTGGTATGAGAATAGAATAGGCAGAATTCCTTGAATAAGGTGAAGTGGGAGGTGGAGGCAGCATGTAGAGAGGAAAAAAAGGTGAGGAAGGTGGGAGGGGGGTTCAGGGTGGAGAGGACACATGTATGCCTGTGGCCAATTCATATCAATGTATAGCAAAAACCATCACAATAAAGTAATCATCCTCTAATTAAAACAAATAAATTGATTTTAAAAAAGAGTAACATTAAAGGTAAAAAAAAAAAGAACCAGGGGACCTGTGTTCTGCACAAAGTCTGTGTGGCACTTTGGGCAAATCACTGTCTCTCTCTGGATCTAAGTCTTCCCACTGATATAATGAAGATAAATTTAAAGGTGCTATCAACCTCTAAAAGTTTAATCATACAATGTGAGGGGAAAATCAGGAAGGAGGAACTGGTTGCTTAGAAGACAAATAGCTGAATGTTGACATTGGAGCTCTGAACTGGTACTGACGGCACAGGAGGACACCTGGAGGCTCCTCCGTGACGTGAGCTGGAGCTAAAACGAGTGGCCCCAAGGTGGCAGGTTTTGGGCAATGCAGAGAGCTGCTCATCGTGCAAACTCAGCTCAGACATGCCCAGCCAGGTGAACAGGGGGATGAGGTTGGGGGGAATATCTAAACTTGCTTCTCATT